TGAACTTGTGGCTAGAGCTCGACCACTGCCTCTGTAGCTCAGTTGGTTAGAGCGCTGCACCGGAATGGCAGGTTCAATTCCTACCAAAGGGTCTATAGTTGTATCAACCATGTGATCTCATATTCCATGGAACGTCTGTGACTAGACTCTCTCACTGTCACTGATGTGAATTCGTTCCCAGTTAACTAAGTTAAGCATGCATGATTTGGTCATGCAGAATTATAGGCATATTCTTGTATGTGGACTACTCTAAAATATTCTGAATGATGATATACAGAACTCATGTGCGTGCCAGTTGATGGAGTTTCCAAATGTGAGTTACTCTAAAGTCATCTGATATGTTGTACAGAACTTGTGTGAATAGGATCACAGTTAAGGATAGGATTAATTAAGTCACTTCTGTGCTTTCTGGAAGGTCAAACAAGGTCAAGTAATGTACAGTTGTATATGTTTACGAAGGCAAGCCATCGTATTCAAAACCCCCAATGTTTTACAGAACTCGTGTGAGTAGAGTTAGGGCCATTCTTTGTTGCTTCAGTGTCACAAGATCAAAGTGGAGCACACAGCAGTGGAATAATTAGTTAAAAGTTATTAAAATCGACACAATCGAGTCATGCAAACATAAGTTTACTTCCTCGTATGTAGTCCATAGCAACGCATTTTTTATTAACACAGATTGACAGCTTTACAGAACGTTTTGCATGATACGCCAAAATACACCAAGAATATACAAGCGCAGATAAAAATATGGTCCTGTCCCATATTTCTGAGGAACATTTGATGTTTTTAACTGATTCAACCAAACAGCGTACGTGAGGCTGATTAAATGTGATTGGCTGACCAAAATAAACCTGTCAAACTCTCTTTGAAACATGAACGTTTCGGCTGAGAATAGAGAATGTTCTTCATTGTATGTAAACGATGGTTTAACGGTTTGCCTTGGCGACGCATGCGATAAAACATCAATAATATAATTATAGAAGAAGAAACTTTATTCAAACAAATACCAATATTGGTACATTGAATACCTACATATACATTAGTTACAAAAAATAAAATATAAAAAAGACATTACAGTATATAAACTTACAAATAATTTATTCAGGCTAACTCATTCAATATGTCAAAAGTTCTTAGTATATCGTAGCAATATTTTGAAGATAATTTCAGAATTAATTATATGAATTGACCTTTACAAAATTTTAAACAAAGAGTTTTTAATACAACTATCAAAGTTCACTGCCCACGCAAGTTCAAGTCTTTCCCAGTAAGTGATTAAGTCAATGAAAATATTTTTATTTCCTTTTTTCCCAGAACAAAATAATTGAAGAAGCAATTTTATATTGATGTGAGAACGTGCATGCTTGGTTGCAGTAATTTTACTGCTAGGTTACATAGGGTAGTTCCCTTTAGTGTGGTGATGTGTTAAAATTAGTGTTGGAGATTGTTTTGGGGGCTTTTTTGGGCTTTATATGGAAAGATGACGTAGCTGTTCGTACAGAAAGTCCTGGGCACGAAGTTGCATTGTCGCGACTGACCTCAAAACTGGATAGTGCATCTACTATGCATACGATTAAGCCAATGTCAGCCCGATACAGGTTTGATCAACACAAATCTACTGTCAGTGTTACTGACATCATGTTAGAAGAGTTTGTGATGTTACTCTGAGTGTGCATCCACACCGGGCCAGCTGAAAAGTTAGCTTGGCCACCGTGGGAATCGAACCCGCGACCTTTGGGATACTAGTCCGATGCTCTGCCAACTGAGCTACGTGGTCAAGTCGGTTCGAGTTGATGATATTTCGGAACTCAGTTGGCAGAGCATTGGACTGGTATACCAAAGGTCGCGGGTTCGTTTCTCACCGTGGCCAAGCTAACTTTTCAGCTTGCCCGGTGTGTGGATGCACACTCAGAGTAACATCACAAACATCATATTCACCTGAGTATACATAACACCAACACAGAAAATAATGTTAGAAGAGGTTCGAACAGTTTCTGGTAATTGGTGGGAATTGCGGTCTAAATAGAAATTGATCTTTCTTCCAGTGATTTACCAGTGAATGACTAATGAGGTGAAGTCACAAGTGTTTTTTTATCGGCCAGTGTTTAAAACGTTCTAGTCTTTAATTCGAATACGCGTGGGAAAGTATGCATGTATTTCAAGTATAAACGTAGAAAAAATACGCAACTTGGTGGTAAAACTAATTTAAACACGTTGTAATTCGATTTGTAAAACAATTGACAGATTTAGAGTATCTTTCTTCATTGTAAATATTCTTGCTGTTAAAAATTGGCTCATTGGGTGCCAAAGAATACTCTGCATGATATTCAGTTTTAACTTTTAAAATGAGTGGGTTGAGCTTTCGCGGGTAAATTCTAGAATCCCAAGACAACAGATCTGAAATCTATTCTGTCGGTATATTCCCGAAAAATCCTGCTTGATAACGTCAAGTCACTAATTTGAAAATCCAAAAATCATATAGATTTAATAACTCGAATATTCAATGCAATTTACAAAAAATTCATATTCTAAAATTATATATATGGGACACTCAGAGCCATCGTGATTTATGCATGTGTTGGTAATAATCCGGGTTTCGTTTGACGCCTGATATATCCCAGACTGAAATGTAATATTCCCAGTATCATTCCCAGTGAGAGGTCCATGCACTCTTACAATACAAGAAATAAAGATCATCTTGTTAGAGTATACCTGCCATAAATACTCACTGGGAACAATTAAGAACAAACTATCATTTTACTAAGGATTGGAATATGTTAGCCTGAATTTTAAGTCTCATGCAGTATTGGAATTTGTATTCGTGGTTTTTAAATCTAGTTTGAACTCTTTTCGCAATTTTAAATAGTGACCAGCACTCTTACTCGTATGATTATAGATATAGTTTAGTGTAATATGCTGTATATGGATCTGCTTTACTATCTTTTAATGTTTTACCTTTATTGATTGTATTTTAATAATCCGAGCGCCTGCATGAAAAACACTTTCGAGTGATTGTGGCTCCCTCATAAAATACGTTCATAAAAAAAATGGGTGCATGATTTGAAATTTTGAAAATTTGCATTTTGAAATTTGAAAACTGTTTGTATTTCATAGCCGTCATTTCCTGTAGTTGAGTTAAGACGGATATGAAGTAAAATAATTATAGTCTTCAAGCCATTAATGCTGGCTCTTTCTTGAATCTTATAAATCATTTAAAAATATCCTTGAAACGTAGAATTCCTTTTAAAAAATCCATGGCTCCTGAGTAATTTAGAACGTTGTTCTTTTGTTCTCTTTTAAATCTTATATATATATAGTTTAAAAAAAAATTAAACAAAGACTGTTAAATTCAACTGCTGCCCACATAAATTCAAGTATTTCCAAGTAAGCCATTATTAAATCAATAATTTTTCTCCCCCTTTTTTCCAAGAACGAACTAAACAAAGAAGCAATGTTATAAGATACATACATAACTGCATTAAAGTCTGTGATTTTAGTAGAGGCATAAGCTATAGGTGGAGTCGGGAAACCAAAAATCCCGAGGGGTTTTTTGCCTAATAGAGTTTCGACATATATTTTCATATATCTAGATAACTGACACCATTTAAAAGCATTGATATCTTTCTTCTTTCAGTGAGGTCGATATTTGCATGAAACTCGGACTATCGACTACATGCAGCCAGTAATGAGATAAACATGAATTATTTTAAATAATTTCAGCACACCAGTTGATCGACAAATTGGTTTAATCAAGATTACATCATTTGGATTACATGTTCCTACATTTCAATTTAGATTACATAAAGTACCAACCGTTGATTGCATTTCGCAATGCGAAGTTTTTAACCATGCAATTCTGATAATTGAAAAATGTTGATTAAAATAAAGCAAGTATATGATAATCATCAACTTAAAGTAAAATTAATATCGTGCTATTAGCACTATATGATTATATAATTATAGTCCCCTACTATTCAATATTTACTGTGATTTAATCTTGTTCCTTTACTATACTAATTAGCCAATGTGAATATGTTAAATGAATCTTAAATGCGAATGACCCAATTTACGCTAGAGACGGCCAAATTTGGACGAATTTTTGCGAGCGGAAAAATCAGTAAGATATTTCGACGACATTAGACCAGCTATCAGGAAAATATCAAGCGTGATTTGTTCCCAAAACCACTAAGGGATGAAAATTGAAAGAAATATAATGAAAAATGTTGACAGGTTAAACGATGAGCCATGCTCACAGTTTCCCTGCAATATTTTATTTCGTCTGGATGGTTTATCTATCGTGTTTACACTAAACTTTAAGGTCATGTCACGCGAGGCAACGTTTGCTGCAACTTCAGATATACAGAGCCAAATGAGTGAGTCATGTTATCTAAAACGTAGTTACAGAGAAATAATGAACATGGCCCGCATACTACTCTGCCGAAACTTTATGTACTATTTAAAACATGCACAGCAGTGTTTGATCAGATACAAAGATACCAGTCGAAGCCGAGTATCTTTAGGTCTGGTAGAACACGCACTGCGAATGTTTTAAATTGCTTCAAAATCGATCTAGTAAGTTTATTGGCGAAGTAATTTTCAAAAAAATACGTTGTGTAAGTCGAGAAAATCAAAGTTAAAGTTTATGTAAATCAAGGGAAATCTCTATCACATATAAAGATACGACACGCTTATGATTTTTTTTGTTTTTTCCTCATGAATTACACATAACATACTCTTAAGGATGAAAATGAAAGAAACGGGATGAAAAATGTCGGCAGACTAAACCGTGGACCATGCTCAGAAATTTCCAATCTTTTATAGCTAGCAAGGCTCTTCTGTGACAGAAACTGCATTGTAAGTTGTAGCAAATATTGCCTCGTGCAACATATGACCGAATGATCCGTCTGACAGATGATGCGTTTTGACGAATGATCTATCTCTATATTGTAAATTGAACCATGCACTGAGTTCTTTAGCGAACCAATATGTATCCCATGACTTTAGTATTCTTGTTTCCGTTGTCTGGACTACACTGGCCAAGATTACCCGCGGCGTTGCGAGAAGGATTGTAAGTACACACGTGACTATCAGCTCCCAGGCCTATGAAAGAGTCGGGTGATTTACAATTATTTTCATTGTTTGCCATAAGACCCAAGCGAACTCTTGTGAACACGCTATTAAAGTACACGTTAAATCCTTCTCTATTGCAGTTACGCTGTAAGGATGATCCATCGATCAACGATTTCCACTGCGCGCGACCAACACGAGTTTGTCGATAGTTTTCGTCTGCGATCAAATCGTACAGCGATGATGCCGGATACGAGAAGGAGAATGCTCTGAAATTACCACCATATTTCATACCAACACAAATTTCCTTAAATGAGGTTCTCCAATAAGACGATCCTTTATATTCTCGGTTGTCTAAACCGCCGTTTCGCCCATAGGCATTGTCATTGTAATAGTTTTTGTTCGTCCAATAGGAGGAGCTGTAGTTAAAAGTACTCTATAAAAACAAATACGTTAAGAAACTAGAGGACACTCTGAGCCTGAATACCTCCGCCATTAGCCTGCGTTAGCTGGCGGTTTTAAAGAGTTGGGGTTGAGGCGCGGGCAGCGAAAATTAGGGAGACAAGGCGCGGGAAACCCCTGACAACCGCCTGCTACGCAGGCTACTCCGACATCGGATTAATTAAGTTATATGTCCAAATTATATCATGCATTTATTATGATACAATGCATGGGCTAATTCTAACTTACCTACTGTCATTGCACGGAGGCTTACCAAACTTCCATTAATCTTCATCACCATTGTCCAACCACCACCTTTGCATCCTGAGATTGACGTCATTTGACAATATACGTCGATAAATTTATTGTTCCCAACACTGATTCTGTAAACACCATTCCCATTTTTTCTGTAAGATAAACGAAATATTTTCTAACTATGTTTTCTGTTTACAATTTACGCAATTTGGAAACGGATTTGAACAAGTCACTTATTCTAGTATTAGCACTGATGAAGGTCCGGGCTTACGGATCGAAAGCTTTGCAGTAATAAATTTACGTGGCGTTTCCACAAACAAAAAGTATTATATGATGTAATCTATATATCTTTACCAAAACCAAAAACGAATCTTCTCAAGCGAAGCTTTAGATATAGTGGGTCCATGTTGTGGAACAATTTTGCATCTGTGGCAAGAAATGGAACCTCAATTTATTAATATAGACATCGCATTGCCGATCTGCCGTTTATACTGAAACTGTATAGATTTGAATATACTGTAATTTATTATATACTTCGCGTACTTTCTGTTCTTGAACTTTTTCAATTACCGTTGAAAGTGTTTAACTTGTAAATAACTTAATACATATAGTAGATGTAGTATTTATGAAATAAAAGCCGCATGTTGTGTAAGTATATATGTATATATTTTACCTTGGGCTCGTCAATATATCTTTGCATGATTGATATCTCATCGGTTCAAGGTCTTTAAAAACAAAAAGAGCGGCACGAGCCAATTAAAATTCAATTAAGGTTGTCCTTCCAAAACCCTAAACTTAAACTCTGAGCGCGCAAGGGATGATGGGTTTTCACCTATTACGCCCTTAAACTCGGAAAATTGCCTTTGCAACAAGTATGTTTTCTGTCGTGAGTCTTTTATATGTCGTAGGTGTTCTTGCAAAGCCAAATTTCAAAGTTTATAAGTCTAAATAAGCAATAACCCATCATCCCTTGCGCGCTCAGAGTTTAAGGTTTGCGTTTTTGGAAGGACAACCTTAATTGAATTAGCTGTATAATAAAACATCGAAAGGGTGAGGGTAAAGCATTTACTGTAAATAATAATAAGCAATTATTGGATGAGGCTGAGCATGATATCAAGAATTATTCAGACCGAGGTCAATATTATCTGCCGAAGCGAAGCTGAGGCGGATAACATAGACCGAGCCGCGGTCTGAACATATCATGCGAAAGCCGAATCCAATAATTGTTTTATTATACATTTAAAGACATGAGAAACGTATAAAACGATTCCTGTTCATGAGGTAGGAAAAGTACAATTTGAATATCAAACACCTTGCACAAGCCACAAAGTCAAAGGTCAGCTAAATATTCTATTTCTACTTCTATTTACCCCTTTGTGGCTTTTGTTTGTTTGTTTTTTTCGCGCGCTTATAGGTGCAAGCTTTTGGCCGCGCAAGGGTTTGGGCACGAGAGAGTCCAATAATTTTTTTTTTGGATGCAAGTTCGATCCAAAAAAACAATTATTGCACGCTGATGACGTCATCGGCGGAAAATACGTAATAAATGCCGAATACTGAAAATTAGCCGATGCCTTCTGACCAATTAGAAACGAGAATACATATTAAATGTATAATAATTAACAATTATTGAATGAGGTTGAGCACGATATGAAGAATTATCAAGCCCGAAGTTTGCCGTTATCAACCGAAGCCGAAGGCTGAGGTTGATAACGGCAAACTGAGGGCTTGATAATTCTTCAT